CCTTCTGCCTCAGCCTTCCGAGTAGCCGGAATTACAGGCGCACGCTACCACGCCCAGCTACTTTTTTGATTTTATTGTAGAGATGAGGTCTCGCCTGCCCAGGTGGGTCTCAAATCCGCAGGCTCAGGCAATCCACTCACCTCAGCCTCCCCAAGGCGTGGGATTACAGGCTGAGCCACCAAGCCCGGCTTCTATGCAATAATCTTAATCTTAGAGTGCAGGGACTATTAATGTCCCCATTCTCAAGAGGATAAAATGGAAAGAAGCTCAGGGAGTTTAAGGAACTCCAAGGTCACAGCAAATCAGAGGGCAGAGCTGAGGCAAGAGCCAACCTAGAGCTCTTTCCTGGAAAGCCAGTCCCCAACTTCAGGGAGCCCTGAGGGACTTGACCTTTGGTTTCAACTTAAGGGGCTGCTTCCCTGGAGAGGGTGGTGGTAGGGAAAAGAGCAGCTCCTACTATTTGTCAGCCAAGACCTTTGCTCCAGGACTAAGCTTCCAGTAATTTATTAACATCAATACTGACCAAGATAAACAGCCAAGTGGCCAGCCCTGAAGAGAGAAACTGAGGGCTGGAATGCTGGGTGGTGGAAGGGGAACCTAGGATCTCTGATGGACTCCCATCTCTCCCCATTGCTCTCTAATTCTTCCTGCTTACAGGGCTCAGTTTCCTCTTCTGTCAACAGAGTGGGGCAGAGCAGCCCATCTCTACAGGTCTTTTCTAGGCTGAGCATGGACCTCACACCTGTAATCCAAGGGATTTGGGAGGCCAAGGCAGGAGGATTGCTTGAGGCCAGGAGTTTGAGACCAGCCTGGGTAACATAGCAAGACCCCCATCTCTACAAAAATAAAATAAAAATTAGCCAGGCATGGTGGCGCGTACACATAGTCCCAGCTACCCAGGAGACTAAGGCAAGAGGATCACTTGAGCCCAGGAGTTCAAGGTTACAGTGAACTATGATCACACCACTGCAGTCCAGCCAGGACAACAGAGAGAAACCCTTATACACACATATATATATTTTTTTCTTTTTCCTTTTTTTTGAGTTAGAGACTCACTCTGTCTCCCAGACTGGAGTGCAGTGGCCACTCCCAGCCACCGCAGCCTCGACCTGCTGGGCTCTGGCGATCCTTCCGCCTCAGCCTTCCAAGTAGCTGGAACTACAGGCACGCACTACCATGCCCAGCTAATTTTTGATTTATTGTAGAGATGAGGTCTCGCCAAGTTGCCCAGGTGGGTCTTGAACCCGGGGGCTCAGCAATCCACTCACTTCAGCCTCCCAAAGCCCTGGAATTACAGGCTGAGCCACCGAGCCCGGCTATATTTTTTTTCTACAGAGAAAATCCAAGAAGGGATTTGTTATCAAAGATCCCAGGCCAGGCTAAGAGGCTCAGCCTATAATCCCAGCACTTTGGGAGGTGAGTGGATTACCTGAGCCACGGGTTCGAGACCTACCCAAGCAACTTGGCGAGACCTTGTCTCTACAATAAATCAAAAAATTATCCAGGCATGATAGCACACACCTGTTGTTCTGGGCTCTTTCCATCCCCCAAACCACAAGCAGAATTAATGCTTAAGAGCACAGGTTCTGGAAAAAACTGGATTCAAATCCCAGCTCAACTTCATCTTTCTAAGCCTCATTTTTCATCTGTAAAATAGAGGTCACAGAATGGAGCTTTTAGAGAAAGGATCTGGTGGCAGTGCAGCTAATACCCCTACAGTATTCTTACCTAACATTCTTTTATTTTTTTTTGAGTTGGAGTCTCACTCTGTTACCCAGACTGGAGTGCAGTGGCTGCTCCCGACCACTGCAGCCTCGACCTGCTGGGCGCCGGCGATCCTTCAGCCTCAGCCTTCCAAGTAGCTGGAACTACAGGCGCGCTACCACGCCCAGCTAATTTTTTGATTTATTGTAGAGATGAGGTCTTGCCAAGTTGGCCAGGCCGGTCTTGAACTGCGGGCTCAGGCAATCCACTCACCTCAGCCTCCCAAAGCGCGGGATTACAGGCTGAGCCACTGAGCCAGCTGGTGCATGCTTATAGTTTCAGCTACTTGGAAGGCTGAGGTGGAAGGTTCGCCAAGCCCAGGTCCAGGCTATGGTGAGCCTTGATCACGTCACTGCATTCCAGCCTGGGTGACAGAGTGAGACACTGACTTGGAAAAAAAATAATTAAAATGCCTCTTGGGCCCCAAAAAACATAATACAGCTTTGTCCAATCTGTGTGGTCTCCCTCAGCTTGATCTGTCCAGCCTCTTCCCACATCTCTCATACCTCCTATTCAACCCTACCATCATTTTCACATGGATATGTTCCCTCAGCTGTCCCCGAAACTACTAACTCATGTCCTGCCATCCCCAGAGTACCCAGCACAGTGCTTTCGGATGGGAGCTACTCAATAAATATTTGTCCCACATAAGGACTTTTCAGTCTCTATTTTTATTTTTTCGTTTTTTAGTTGGGGTCATACCCTATCACCCAGGCTGGAGTGCATGATGCAATGATGCCTCACTGCTACCTCTACCTCCTAGGCTCAGGCAATCCTTCTTCCTCAGTCTTCTGAGTAGCTACAACTACAGGCCTATGCCACCAAGAACTCCAGGGCTCAAGCAATCCTCCTGCCTTAGCCTCTGAAAGTGCTAGGATTACAGGCATGAGCCACCACTCACAGCCACTTTTTCAGTCTCTCCTTAGGAAAACTTATTATAGATGATACATTTGCACTGCTTGGAGACCAACAGTCTCAATACCTCCCTACGTAAACCTGCTCCAGAACATTATAGATTTATGTGCTGGATACTATAAACTTTGTTCTTTTTTTTTTTTTTTGAATTGGAGTCTCACTCTGCTGCCCAGGCTGGAGTGCCGTGGCACACTCCCGGCTACTGCAGCCTCGACCTGCTTGACTACAGCAATCCTTCTGCCTCAGCCTTCCAAGTAGCTGGAACTATAAGCGCACACTACCACGCCCGGCTAGTTTTGATTTATTGTAGAGATGAGGTCTCGCCAAGTTGCCCAGGCGGGTCTCGAACCCGTGGGCTCAGGCAATGCACTTGCCTTGGCCTCCCAAAGTGGTGGAATTACAGGCTGAGTCAAGAGCCCGGCCTATCTGATTTCAAAGCCCACATTCTGCCCTCACCCCAGCAGCCTCATTGCCCCCAAATTCAGTGACGAGAAAGGCTGTTGCTGTCCCTACTAGTGACTCCGGAGAGATATGAGGCAGCCTGAGAGGCAACAAGAGGGAATGTTCCCAGGCATCCAGTGTAGAACTGAGGCATAAGTAACTGCAAAGCAGTCATTGAGGAACTTCATACATTTTTTTTAAATGAAACTGACACATTTTATTATTTAGTTTTTAGGACCTCTTTGTAATTTACAGTAGATACTTAATTTCCTGCTCAGGTTTTCTATGGCAGCTTCTACCAAGTCAGCATGGAGGTTGGGACAAGGCAACATTATGTGAAACTATGCCCTGGAAGGGAGATCTGTGGTCAACGTGTGCATGGTACGCTGGGAATGGCATGGCTGGAGTCACGGGAGGTGAAAATATTCACCAAGACAATTATGAACTAAGAAAGGTAGATTCATTAAAGGAAAGATACGTTGTGAAGGACACAACAGGCAGGACATCAGCAAGAAGGTCTGATGTCTGCTGCCAACTTCATAAATATTAATCCAAATGACTTCACAGCAATCCTGTGAAAAACACCAAGCAGGGATCACCATCTCCACTTTACCCAGAAGGAACCAAGGCTGACAGAGGTTCAGTGACTTATACGGGGTTACTGAGTAAGGAACACCAGGCTGCTTCTAAGCCCCACATTCCTTTTGTGGCCTCTGGTTATTTGCTACACAAATGGTTCTACCACCGACTGATTCTGTCCCTTCCCTAAGCTTCAATTTCTTCATCTGGAAAATAAGGAGCTCATAAAAGATGATGTTCCTGCAGGGCTCAGTGGCTCAGCCTATAATCCCACGCCTTGGGAGACTGAGGTGAGTGAATTGCCTGAGCCCGGGGGTTTGAGACCTGCCTGGGCAACTTGACAAGACCTCATCTCTACAGTAAAAATCAAAAATCAGCCAGGCGTGGTAGCGCGCGCCTGTAGTTCCTGCTACGTAAGGCTGAGGCGGAAGGATCACCGGATCCCAGCAGGTTGAGGCTGCGGTGGCCAGGAGTGGCCACTGCACTCCAGTCTGGGCGACAAAGTGAGACTCCAACTCAAAAAAAAAAAGATGATCTTCCCAGGGATCTTTTAGCCCTGACATTAAGTGGATCTCTTGCAGAAATTGCTGGGGACATAGGCTTGGGAAAGAGTCAAAGGTTGTTGCTAGTGTTAGACACCTCACAACCATGGCCCCTCTAATCCTCAACAACCCTATGAGACACACCCTGTTTTTTGTTTTATTTTGGGTTTTTTTGAATCAGAGTCTCACTCTGTCGCCCAGGTTGGAGTGCAATGGCATGCTCACATCCACAGCAGCCTTGACCTGCTGGGTGGTCAGACGATCCTGCCACCACAGCCTTCCAAGCGGCTGGAATTATAGACACACACCACCATGGTAATGTTTTGTTCACTGGAAAGATGAGTTCTTGTCAAGTTGCCCAGGCTGGTCTCAAACCCCTGGGCACAGGCAATCCTCTCGTCTCCACCTCCCAAAGTGCTGGAATTAGAGGTGTGAGCCACAGTGTCCCAAGTACACCCTATTTTATCACTCCCATTTTACAGTTAAGGAACCTAATGCTTGAAGAGGTCAAATGACTTGCCACAGTCATCCTACCCAGGAAGGCTGTTAAAATTTGCTGGGGCCAGGCAAACTCCAGACTCTTTCCACAATGTCAGCTTTCTTCCTAATTATTGGGAAGTCCAAATGGGAGGGCATATGCCCACTCCTCTTTCCCAGCTACCCAAAAGCCCCACTGCACCATGTTCTATTATCGCATGGTACGCCCTAACAGAACTCTGCAGCTTCACTCCTGGGCTGCAGGGCAGGAGGGATGCCTGCTTCCTTTCCACAGGTAGGGAACAGGTAGCCTCACTTCTTTGGCAAATATTCTTTGAGCATACACTGTCCTAAGCCCTGCGGGGGTGGAAGGCTGGGGAAACAGAGAAAAATGAGATTATGGTCTAGTGAGACAAGCATATAGGGTGATGATAGCAAAGATGGGAGATGGAAAAGCAAGGGTCCACCCAGGGTCAGAGAGTCAAAGCCCTGCCTCAGCCCACAGCAGGGCCCAAACAAATGCTCAGGCCAGACACATGCCCAGCCAGCCTTCTCTCCCAGGAGGCCACCAGTTGTGGTGCAAAGTGCACGGTGCATCAGAAGACCTGGGTCCCAGATTCAGTGCTGCCACCACACAGCAGGGAGTGACTTTGGAAAACTCCCTTCCCCTCTCAGGCCTCCACCTGTACAGTTCTGGGTGGGGAAGCAAAGGGTCTGTGCACCTATGGCCCCTGGGGATCCCCCACTGCTCCTCTGCCCTCAGATCTTCTCCCCAGAACTTGCCGGGGAAGGCACTCAATCTCCCAGAAGCCCCTAGTGGGTGCTAAATCACAGGCCAAGCCCTGGGAAAGTGGCCACTCCTGTCCTTTGCCCCCGCCACTCTCTAGGACCCAGGCCCCTCTCACCATCTTTCATTCTCTGCCCAGACCCAGGTCCTCGCCGGGACAAAGACCCTGTCTATACCTTTCTCACCTCCCCGATTCTTTGCCCAGACCCCTCCCTAGGCCTCAATCTCGGTTCCGCCTCTCACCCCCAGATTCCAAGGGAGGAGTGTGAACCCCTCCCCCCAGCCCAGACCCTGGCCTTCGCCCCTGCAACCCCACCGCGCGCGTCCGCCTCCACCCGGTCAGGCTCTCACCGCGCCGCAGCCGCAGTAGCTCCATCCCCAGCATGGGGCCCTGGACCCCCCAGCCACCGCCGTGCCGCCGCAGAGATGCTGCACAGCCGCGGAGCCATGTTGGAGCGGCAAAGGTTGCAGGAAGGCCCCGCCCCCGAACCCGGGCGGGGAGGCGGGGCGTGAGTAAGCCCCGCCCCGCCGGCGCGCCCTCCTCTCTCGGCAGCCAGCCAGGTGGGCGGTGACCGTGGGCGTTGCCCCTGGGCAACCCCCAATTCAGCAGATGCTGGAGGGAAGTCGAAGTTTTTGTCCTCTTGGCCCTTGCAGCTCTGCTACTGATTCACTCTGTGACCTTGAGCAAACCCTTTGCCCACTCTGGGCCTCAGGATCCACCTCGGTACGATGGGAGCATCGAAAAATGATTACCAGCGGTCCTTAACAGGGCTTTTAGAGGATGAGCAGCAAAAGAGCAGAAAGCCCCCTGAAACCGTGTACAAAGTTATGTGCGCCCGTGTGTTTCTCTGGAGAAAAGCACCCACTGGCACGCTTTGTCACATTATCAAAAGAACGAACTCCCTACAAGACAGGGGAGCAAGGCTCTGGCCACAGGTACACTTTCTCTCCACCATTTCCAGAATTCTCCCTTTTCATCCCTCTCTACCTTCTCTGCCTGAGCCTCTTGGAGCCTCTTTCGCCCGGCCCAGCTTTTTTGCCCGCCCTCAGAACTAACCCACAATCCCCAGATCACAAAAATCAGCTGGAATGGGGGTCTCGCAGACCCACAGGAGGCCTAGGGAACTTATGGCCTCCAAAGTGGCAGGGACACGCTTTCCAAAAGAATGCCCACCCACTGATTGGTGGTTCCCTCCTGGTGTCCTTGGGATGAGGGAGTGGAGGGCAGGCTTTAATTTCCTGATTCCTTTCGCAAATACTGAGTATGCCTGGCCAGGCCCTGTGATGACCTCTACGGCACCAAAGGCAAGCAAAACAAACCCCAGCCCTCTTAGGAGTTAAGGCTTGGTGGAAGAGAAAATCAAATCACCACTGATTTTGAGCCCCTTCCTTCCTCCACCTTTCCTGTGTGACACATTAAATATTTGCTGAATACAACCAGCAGCAGTGGCTTATGCCTGTAATTCCAGCACTTTGGGAGACTGAGGTGAGAAGATTGCTTGAGTCCAGGAGTTCAAGACCAGCCTAGGCAACACAGCAAGACCTCATTTCTACAAAAAATTTTTTAAAAATTAGCCAGCATGGTGGCACGCGCCTGTAGTCCCAGCTACACGGGAGACTGAAGTGGAAGGGTCCCCTGAGCCCGGGAGATCGAGGCTGTGGTGAGCCCTGCATGCACTCCAACCTTCGCAACAAAGTGAGAGCCCATCTCAAAAAAAAAAAAGATTAAATATTTACTGAATAAGTGAAACTTATGCACCAAAATGTTTTGCCAATTGTGATAGAAGCTATGAAGAAGTATGTGGAAAGATAAAATTTTAATTTCAAAAAACAGAAGGCAGGGCAAGGTAGATGACACCTGTAATCCCAACATTCTGGGAAGCTGAGGTGGGAGGATTGCTTGAGTCCAGGAATTCAAGACTGCCCTGGACAATATAGTGAGACTTCATCTCTATAAAAAATTTAAAAATTAGCCAGGTGTGGTGGGGGGGGCCTGTAGTTCTAGCTACACTAGAAGCTGAGGTAAAATTATTGCTTCAGTCCTGGATTTCCGGGTTACATTGAGCCAAGAGTGTGCCACTGCACTCCAGCTTGAGTGACAGAGTAAGACTGCCCTAAAAAACAAACATACATAGTCCAGGCTCAGTGGCTCAAATCTGTAATCCCAGCACTTTGGGAGGCCAAGGCTTGCCTGAACCTGTGGCTAAACCTATGGGTTCAAGACCAACTCGGGCAACATGGTGAGACCTTGTCTCTACAATAAATCAAAAAATTAGCCAGGCGTGGTAGTGTGTACCTACAGTTCCGGCTACTTGGAAGGCTGAAGTGGAAGGATCACCGGGGCCCAGCAGGTCGTCGCTGGGGTGGTGGTAAGCGTGCCACTGCACTCCAGCCTGGGCAACGGAGTGAGACTCAAACTCAAAAAACAAACAAACAACAGCAACAAAGTATGTAGTAGATTTATAATGGGGCATGGGAGGAGAAGGGAGGTTCTGTATAGACTTTGAGTATCTGTGATGACTTCTATAAGGAAATTAGGTTTGAACAATAAATTTTTCTTGTGTTTTCTAAAATTGCCACAATAAGCGTGTAATTATTTGTGTGATTTTTTTTTCTTTCTTTTTTTTCTTTCTTTTTTTTTTTTTGTGAGTTGGAGCCTCATTCTGTCACCCAGACTGGAGTGCAGTGGCCGCACCGGGCCACCGCAGCCTTGGCCTGCTGGGCTCTGGCGATCCTTCCACCTCAGCCTTCCAGTAGCCAGAACTACAGGCACGCGCTACCATGCCCAGCTGATTTTTTGATTTATTGTAGAGATGAGGTCTCGCTGCCCAGGCGGGTCTCGAACCCGCGGGCTCAGGCAATCCACTCACCTCAGCCACTCACCTCAGCCTCCCAAGGCGCGGGATTATGGGTTGAGCCACTGAGCCCAGCTGTGTGATTTATTTAAAAGGAAATTGTGTATCATTGTGATAAATGGAAAATCAGAATCAATTATCATAAACAGGAAGAACCATAAAAATAAATGCAATATTATACAATTTTTTTTTTTTTTTGAGTTGGAGTCTCACTCTGTCACCCAGACTGGAGTGCAGTGGCCGCTCCCGGCCACCACAGCCTCGACCTGCTGGGCTCTGGTGATCCTTCCGCCTCAGCCTTCCAAGTAGTCAGAATTACACGCATGCGCTACCACGCCCAGCTGATTTTTTTTAATTTATTGTAGACATGAGGTCTTGCTGCCCAGGCTGGTCTCGAACCCGCGGGCTCAGGCAATCCTCTCACCTCGGCCTCCCAGAGTGCTAGAATTATCGGCACGTGAGCCACTGCTCCAACCAATGTTATGCAAATTTTTAGAAATGCAATGAAAACAACAATGTAGATGCTACATTTTAGCTCCTGTGGTTACAAGGTAAAGCACATAGGTGTCAGAGACACAACCAGTCCCAGATTACCACAGCGATCTGAAAGAAGTGAATTTCTGCAGCTGGGCTCGATGGCTCAGCCAGTAATCCTGTGCCTTGGGAGGCTGAGGTGAGTGAATTGCCTGAGCCCGCGGGTTTGAGACCCGCTTGGGCAGCGAGAGACCTCATCTCTACAATAAATAAAAAAATCAGCCGGGCGTGGTAGCTCCTGCCTATAATTCCGGCTACTCAGAAGGCTGAGGTGGAAGGATCGCCGGAGCCCAGCAGGTCAAGGTGGCTGGGAGCGGCCATTGCACTCCAGTCCGGGTGACAGAGTAAGACTCCAACTCAAAAAAAAAAAAAAAAAAAAAAAAAAAAAAAAAATTTAAATAAAATAAAAAAAGCCAGGCTCGGTGGCTCAACCTGTAATCCCACGCTTTGGGAGGCTGAGGTGAGTGGATTGCCTGAGCCCGTGGGTTCAAGACCCGTCTGGGCAACTTGGCGAGATCTCATCTCTACAATAAAAATCAAAAAATTAGTAAGGCGTGGTAGCGTGTGCCTGTAGTTCCAGCTACTCAGAAGGCCGAAGCAGAAGGATCGCCAGAGCCCAGAAGGTCGAGGCTGCGGTGACCGGGAGCGGCCACTGCACTCCAGTCTGGGCAACAGAGTGAGACTCCAACTCAAAAACAATAAATAAATAAATGAAAGAAGTGAATTTCTCATTATAAAATTCAGTGGAGCCAAGTTCATGCTTGTAATTTCAGCCACTTGGGAGGCCGAGGCAGGAGGACTAGTTGAGCCCAGGAGTTTGAGATCAGCCGAGACAAAACAGCAAGACCCTTATCTCTAAAAAGCTGGCCAGGTGCAGTGGCTCACTCCTGTAATCTCAGCACTTTAGGAGGCAGAGGCAAGAGGATTGCCTGAGCTCAGGGATTCAAGACCAGCCTGAACAACATGGCGAGATCTTGTCTCAAAAATCAGTCGGGCGTGGTGGCGCATGCCTGTGGTTCCAGCTACTTGGAAGGCTGAGGCAGAAGGATCACCTGAGCCTAGCAGGTCGAGGCTGTGGCAGCCATGAGCGTTACACTGCACTCCAACCTCGGAGACAGAGTGAGACTCCAACTCAAAGAAAAAAAATAAAAAGCATAAATGAATATAGTCAAAGGGAGGATGGAGATTATGTGGCAGCAGCTTCTCACTCAGTACAAGGAATAATTTTCTAACAAAAGAATGGACCACTTGGTGATTGGTCACTGCATTATGCCAACAGAGGCTGTGTAGCAGTTCATTGGTCTTGTGATAGAGAACATTTGACAATAAAACCACAGGAAGCTGAACCTGTGGATGGGGAGGGACTGGCCCTGCTGGTCTCTCTCTCACCAAAGCCTTGGTGTTTCTTGGTACCTTGCCCACTTTCTGAAGCAGGGAGAATGAGAGGACAGACCTGCAGCCTCCTTCTTTGGGTCTTGGCATTTCCAAGAAGGACTTTCCAATCTCCTCCACCCAGGTAGGGCAGGAGAATGAAACAGGATGACTCTGGGAGTATGCTTCTACACCTGACTAGGAGAGATGGGAGATGGAGCTCCCTTTCCATCCCATATGAACCACATTGTGGCAGCTGCCTGGAAGGGCAACTTCAACCCTCCACCCCTCAACCCTAGCTAGGGTGACCAACGTATCCCAGTTTATCCTGGACTTTTTCAGTTTAAGCACTAAAAGTCCCCCGACCCAGGAAACCCCACAGTCCCAGGGAAACTGAAAGATCTAGTCATCCCAGTTATGGCCCTAGTTCTCTCCCCAGGACACACACCCCTGCCATCCCAGAATTTTTTCCTTCCTTAATTAAATGTATTTGGCTTGAAGGTGAGGGGTGGGGAGCTGGGCTTTCTTTGTCACTTAGTGACTTACAATGCTAGTTAACTGAGCACCTGGTATGAGCCTCTCCCTGCCCCAGGGACCATGCATTCTGGACAGCAAACTAGTTCGATGAAAATTCCACAAATAAGGAATGAGACCATTTCCAATCACTGTGGAGTAAATTACTCCAAGCCTTAGCAGCTTGAAGCAATCAACATTTATTATTTCATGCGGTTCATGTAGGTCAGGAATTCTG